AAATATACTTTCCATACTCTAAATCTTAGGATATAACCTGTTCTTACTTTTGGCATAGTTAGCATAAAAATCTGATTTTTGTTATGTCGACTTAGGCTGAGGCCAATTTTTTTCATGTCTATTTGCTTTTATAATAAAAATGAATAATTGTGGATGCTTTATAGAGAGAGATCTTAAGGTGATCGTAGAGCTCAAGTTAGCATTATGACTACTGCCTTACGTTGTCAGTAGTTACTTATGGCTCAAATGGTGAGATAAGACCTCATGTATCTATGTTGTTATTGACAATTTCATCTAGTCTGCATACACATCGGATGATCACCAAACGAAATCTAGCTATACTGTTAAGACAGTTGAACTCAGGCCTAACAATAAAGTTTATCTGAGTCTTCTTCATGAATAAAAGCCTTGGGTCCATGGATCGGAAGTACAAATGATCAGATTCCCCAACGCCAGCCTCCATTATTGCTGTATACACCGAAGCCAGCCTCATAAGCCCAGCCTAAGTTGCTCTAGCAATGCCAGGCCATAAGAGCATTGGTCAGACTAGGCCGGCTAAGGTGATGAAGGCCTGAAGAGTAATTTTTCCACAATAAGATGAGATGCTACATTACACTAGCCGGGTTCGATTCCCCCTGAGAGTGATGCTGACGAGACCCTGGCAAAGTGGAAACTGTAGTCCATTCCAGTCGGGATGAGAAGAGCTTTTTGCAAGTCAGGCTAAGCGAAATTCCACGGCATCCTAGGACCTATTCACTTCACTGTTACTCCTTCCTCACGCTACGCGACTTAAGGCGACTGAATCTCTTATTCAAGCTCTACCGATAGTACCGAACTTCTGCTTAATTCAACTACAATGCTACACCATGTTGGCAGCAGTGACCAAGCAGAACCGCCTTAATGTGCTGCCTGCAGACGCCGCATTGATACGACCTGGTTGCCAGGACCTGGACAGAGTACAGCAGACGCCCTATTGCTGCGCTGTTCTTCAGGGCTTCCAAAAAGATCTAGCAATGCGTCTGAACCTGGTCGTTCAGTCCGTTGAGCCCATCTACTCGAATCGTGCTGGCACGTGTCCCCTTCTGCGGTTGAGCTTGGCTTTGATCTGTAACATGAAGTCTTTTGATCGGACTCATGTTATCAATGCTTTCTCGTCCACTCTTGTTCACTATCGGCACAAGTGAATGTAACTATTTTCGCAATACACGAGGCTTGGAAGTAGGCTAACACACAACTAGTCGGGTTAATCGAAATACTCGTGATCCTACCTATACGACTCATCCAGACTCGACTGGTACCATGCCTTGACAATATGGTGCAAGGGTTACCTTAAATGGTATATTCTGATTAAGGGTATTCTTGTATGCACTCGACTCTCGTCTAGACGTGGATAGCAAAGTTGTAGTCTTTGCTCTTTATTTAAACCACTGTAGCTTTCAAGGATCGTGTGCTTTTTGGTCTGGAGCAGAGTACATTCAAAAGTTTCACTGTTGCTATTCATTTGCAACTTCAACATTATTTCTATCTCTATCTGTCTCTCTCTTCCCATCTCGCATGAACTAGCATCCAAGCCTGCATGGGTAGCAATAGAACCACACACGCTTGTGAATCTGCTTGTTTCCAAATTGTCCAAAGTCCTATGATGTCAGATGGTTTTTTCCTATTATGACGTTTGCTTGCTTTTTAATAGTAAGAGTTTAATTTTAAAGCTATTTTGTTGATTCTCCAGCAAGACTCATGCAGACTCGAGTGGTCCCAGGCCTTGTCAATATGGTGCAAGGGTTGCTTAAATGGCACATTCTTCATCAAGATTTCTGCTTGCGTCTTTTTCTCGAAAGTCCATGAAGCTTCGATTCTTTACCCGAATAAGTTTTTCCGTAAACAGGAATTTGCAATACAGTTTAACCGGACCACCAGGTTGATGGCATTTTATTTTGGTCAAGAATAATTGTAAATCACTATCCTCATTCACAGTTGCTGTATCACTTAATCGCCTTGCAAATACAGTGCCTGTTAATCTCTGAGTCTCCACTTTTGACAGTTAACTTATAATTGAGGTCGAATCTCAAATTAATCCTGAATGGAATTCAATTTTTGACAGGTCTCATATCGCTTTTTACTAGCAGCATAGTATCAACTTTCTTTTCTGTAGCTAGCCAAGATTAACTCTCATAAAGCAAATTCTCTCCATTTTTACTTTTAACAATAAGTATTTCCTCAACCCTCCTCAGACTTACTCTAATGGCCATCAGCCTATCTTCTGGTAGCCTTTCTTTCTCGCATTTTTCTCTAAGCTCTTCTGCCAATTCATGCATTGTCACCTCTTCCCTCTCACAGTTTTGATGCTGGTGTGAATAGGGTAGTTGAAGTTGTTGTTCAACTTTCTGCTTCCGTTTCACCTGCTGCTGCTGCTGCTCCTGGTGCTGATGCCGATGATGATGGTGTCGTGGATCCAGGGGACGCTGACATCGCGGTCTCTCTCCTTCTTTGTTTTGCTGGTACTTGCAATACTGCTTTCCCATGGGCTTCTGACGTGAATTTTCTTCTTTATCCAACTGTCGCAGGCTCTCTTCCTTTCTTGTCTGTCGACCATGCCTGTCTGAGACTGGGCATTGGGTCAGCATAAATGAAGATGCTACCGCCAAGGCTGAGGCTTCCTGGCTTGGAAATTTTGACACTGACTGTAGGGATTGCGTAGCCCCGTCAAGAGGGCTGGAAATTGAGATAGTATTTTTATCTTCGTCCCTCGCGGTACCGTTAGATTCTTGGTCGACTGCGGAAAATGTTTGCATGTGCGCCATCGAAGAGAGGTCAGCAGAAGTGATTATCTGCGAATGGACCATCATCATTGCGTCTTGTGAGGGTATCAAGTTCTTCCTGCTAGTTGGGAGCTCCGTTGACACTGAACATTCAGTTAAAACAAGTTTATAGGTTATTGTAAGCACGCAAGCTAAATTGTCAATAATAGCCACATTAAATTTTTAAGTTTAATATTAAGTTTAATATAATTCAAAAATACTATT